TTCCGCCCCTCTTTTGGGCCCATCCCTGCCCGGGAAAAGGGGAACGGAGCAGGGTCTGAAACCATGCACAAGAGTCACCAGCCACTCCTGCGCATGTCCCCTCTTTGTCACAGAGACGCTGCAGTCGCACAGCCAGGGAGAGACCACCGGGACCCCCGAGACCACAGCTCAGCACAGCAGCAGCTATGCAGCAGTGAAAGGGCCGGGGATGGGAAGTGGGGCTGGGCAGGGAGACCACAAACACTGGCTGGGGGCAGGGATGATCCCTCCAAGGGCCTCGCTCGGGGTTCGCTCACACCAGTGCGAACGGGAAGGGACTCGCCCTGAGAAAGGGGGTTTATTCGGAAGAACAAAAATGTGAATTTCAGTCAGTTTCGGCCTTTTGTCAACGGTGGGTCCTGGAACTTTGCTCCCATGCTGGTTTCAACGGAAAATGCTGCGCACTGGGGCTGGCTTTGGGGTTTCTGAGTCAGGGGCAGCATTTTGCCCCCACTGTGCACAGAAGCGAACAAGGAAGCGAGGTGCCCGGGAGCGGATGATCCAGCCCCCTCGGCTCTGTAGGGTACAATCTCTTTTACAGCTCCAGCTGCTGTAACTAGTTTGTGCAAAAAGTTTTCCCACTAAAAACCTCCCAGGTTTGTTGCAAGTGAAACGTTTAAGTGTCAATTCAGATGAAATCTTGTATCTTTCCCGCCCTAAACGTCAGAACGGGCGTTTTAGTCCCCAAGCGACACTCCGAAAAGCGGTTCTTTGGCCTGACGGGGCTGCTTTGTTTTGGGGGTTTGCGTTTAAAGCCAGATAAAGCATTTCACGTTGTGACGCAACGTGCATTTTGCCTCACCCCGGCGTTTTGCTCGGGGTCGTTGGACGGTTTGCTGTGGCAAGGGAACGACTGGAAGGGGAAATGAAAAGGCTGGCTTTGGTTTGAAACGTCAGTTAGAAACTTGAAATCTCAGGGAAAAACCTGCTGGTTTTCTGACCCGCTCCAATAGCTACTTAGCCCAGACTGGGAGTTCCGGAGACCCAGTGCCACCGCCTTGGGATGGGAGCCCGAGAGAACCCCAGGGCTGCCCACGTTCGGCAGCCTCAGTACAGAACACTCTTGCCGTTCGTCACAGCTGAGCTGTGTCTCTTCTAAGGGACATGGCAGGTGGGGGCTTCTCTGACTCTAATTCTGGGTCTCTCCACACAGATCCAGGAGACCAGAGCTCCCTGCAAGCAGGTCCCACTATATCTGCCATGGGGGAAGTGTGGCTGATACATCTCCCTGCCTCTTGAGGGATGACTGGCAGCTTGGCCTCATGCCCTCAGCCAGAGATGTCACTGCCTCTTCATCTCAGCCAGCCAGCCCCTAGGGGAACTCAGCCTCCTCTTCCCCTGGGAAGTCGGACAAGCAGGGCCCTTCCCGAGAGGTTTGGAAGACAGGACTGTGACATGCCACCTGGGAAGGGGACTGAACGTGGCATGTCCAGGGAGCAAAGGGCATCACACACATATCGATGCTTGGCACATCCTGGGCACTTAGAGCACAGAAAGGGGGTGGGAGCACAGGGGTCGGTGACAGCCGGACACACTTGCTCTTTTCTCTTCTTCCTCAGCTTGTTCCGCCCGATTCGTTCCAGTGGAGACGTGGAGCAGTTTGCTGGCTTGCATCCCGGATGGGTGCTGCTGGTGCCTGGCAGATCTGCACCACCCTCCCGTTCCAGTAACGGACCTGTGCCCATGGGAACGGCCTACAGAAAAGGCCCAACTCTGAAAAACGGACCCACTGTGGCTGTCGTGGGCTGGGGAGATGTATCTCGTTCCAGAGTGCTCCCCGCCCCACAGGGCCACTCCATAAGGCTCACGTATCCAAGGTGTCCCCCCACCCCAGCCCCCAACGCCAGGGAACATCAGCATTCCTCCTGCCAACAGGCTCAGGTTTCGCAGATGCCATGGGGCTGGAAGACAGAGAGATTTCAGGTTTGTCCGGTTACTCACCCGCCTTTAAACCACAGCGACTTCGCCTCGCCAGATCCTTCTCCCCGGGCCTGTAGGACAGACAGACAGAGTCAGCGGTGCCTCCCGGCCATGCCGGTAAACCTGGGCAGGCAGCTAGCTGGGGCGAGCCACAAGCAGCGTATTGACTGGGGCTTCCCTGTGCTGAAGAACAAGTGCTTGGAGACACACGGGGAGCGTTGAACAACAACACACAGCGCAGACGACATTTGGGAGGGGGCTTGTGTGGGTCGGGGGGCAGGGAATAAAATATATTAGAGAGTCCGGAGATGAATGAGCAAAATAACAGCTGCATTTAACCAAGAGCTAAATTCAACTAGATGAGCAGAAGAAACAAGCACTCTGGCCATGCAGATTCTAGCAAGGAGCTCTGTTGCCGAGCCGTTTGACAAAGCTGATTAACCTGTTGCTGGGAACACAAACTACAGAAGCCATGTGCTGTGGGAATCCGGAAGCCAATTAATTGATCAGAAAAGTTTGACTGGTCTGTTCCATCCAGAACTCTTTTGGAAGACGTTGGACTGGCAGAGTATATGGGATGCTGAGTATATCTGGGATGGGCTGTTGTAGAGGGATGTTGGTAGAGACCAGACATCCATGGAGGACTTTGCTTTCCCAATTGATTTTTCACTTGCCAAGACTGGGAAAAAATCTGGGGGTGCGGCAGAGCCTGGGGGAGAACGGGAGCAAACACCAGTGACA